GTTTGGATTGAAAACAAAAATTCTTACCACTGGACCAATAAACAATATTCTTATCAATGGAGAAAAGATTGAAGTTGTCAAGGACTTCATTCTTCTTGTATACAATTTTGCAGTAATAACAATAATAAAGAAATGTTATGTATAGTCACATAGATCGATTATATAGGCATGTATGTATAGAAAGGCACATATGAGTATGTATGATATGCATGTATAGTTATGTAGGTATGCATTCAGGGGTTTCAAAAAGTTCATGGAAAAATAGAACTGAAAAATGGATTTTTATCCACAAACCTTTCGAAAGCCTCTTGTATGTTTGCTCCCTATATGTTAATATATAAAATAAAATACACAAGGAGCACAATCACAGATACACCACAGATATAAGCAAACATCTTGCAGGATGAGTTTACTGGGCTTGATGGTTCAAGACCATAGTCTTGTGGGACAATTTAGTCAACTGGTATATAGTCCATAAAGGTAATACCCCATTCTAGTTTGCTAAGTTAGCATCTAGGGTCTTAAAGTTTAAAAGCAGCCATCTAAATTACAACTATTAACGTCTCTAATCACCTGGAGCAAAAGAGTAAAAAACCAAAGACTCAAAAAAGGCACTGTGATCCTTTCTAAATAATCACCTAATGAAACCAAATAATAAACATTTACCCTGCACCAAAAATGAAAAGGTAAGGGAGGTATAGAAAAGTCAGATTAGTGGAAACAATAAACAAGAATGGAAATGAGAATTCTGACACATTTTGAACATGTAACCAATGTCACTGAACAGTATGTATGCTGTTATTAAGTGTCGTTAAGTCGGTTCCAACCCATAAAGACCCTATATAGAGTTTCCGAGGAGCAACTGGTGAGCTTGAACCGCGAACCTTGCAGTTTAAACAGCTTTGCAGTCTGGTGCATTAACCCACAGCGCCACACCAGGATTAAGTAAGAACCTAATTTTGCTGTGTAAACTTTCACTAAAAATCATTTTTTTATAAGCTCAAAATGGGACATTTCGTTTTGTGGAGTAACTGGTTGTTTTACCACTTACATGGTTATTTCTGACTTCTCTGTCCTTCTATGCCCCTTCTGTTACAAGAATTCCTGTATTCCCCTATTCAATCTTGGCTGTCATAAGCAGACAGACAGAAAGCGCAAAGAACTTTTTTCTTGCATCTGTAGTGAAACCTTAGAAGCAGACATTAAAGTGCTCCAGGTCTGTCAAATAGATGCATTAAAAAATTCACACACAAAAATTTTTTCATGGGTATGAAGGACATCATGATCAGTACTTGTTCTTTTCAGTTGGTTTGGGTTTATCTACTATAACAAGACATAAGGTAAATCATTCTCTGATGACACTGGAATGACCCTACTTTTATCTAACAATTTCCAGTAGCAACTAATTCATTAAAAAAAAAATGGCAGTTTTCGTTTTTAAATCCATTTTTATGTTCATGGAAACCAGAGAAATTCATTTAAGAAACTAAAAACAAAACACCAAGTCAATAACTCTTTTATGTTCTCAGTGGTGACTATAGAGCACTGGTTTTAAGTGTTCAAACAACTCTGAAGAGAATGCTTACTTTGGCATGGTAAGTCTGCTCAAGCTCTTCCTTGTACAGCTTTACTTGGGCGTCATGTTGCTCTCTCATGTCATGAAGCGCCTGAGCCAGCTTATACTCGTACTCAATCTGACGCCCAGAATCTACCTCTACCAAGCGAGTTTCATGCTTTTTTCTGGTCTCGTTAATTTCCTGGGGGGAAAAATATGACATAAAACAAGTTACTTATCATGGCTGTTCTGGTTCAATCTGAGTGACATCAGAGTCACCTGAAGTTTTACACACAAACCTCCTTGTGTTTGCCCAGGGCAAGCATGTGAACAGATACATTTTTGCCTCTGAGAAGAACTTCTTAGTTTCAGGTGAGATTTTGAGACCAATGACAGAAATGGTGGCAGACCACGCTCTAGGAATCTTCTATTTCCTTTGAGTGATACAGCTTTTTTTTTTTTTTTTCTTGGAAGGTAAGACATGACCTTCAGAGAAAAAATTATTTTCTGAAGTACTATGTAATCACAGACAACTACATACACTTAACATTAATTTATTTTATTAAAAATTCTAAGTATACCTCTGAAAAAATATACATGGAAAGTTAACTTTATAAATCAGTAAAGTCAAAGACTCATGGATAACAAAATTATTGTCTTAGGCATACTATGATGCAATAGCAAAGCAAGCTAATTTACATAACTCCTTTTAGCAACTGGTAGTAAACTATCAACATCAATTGGCAAGGGATATTATAAATAGTTATCATTTGACTAATAACCAAGCACATTAACAATTCACTATTAAAGAATACAAATAGTAGGTACAATCCTACTTTTGTGTTGTAAGTAAATGGTTTAAAACTGAAATGGGGAATCTTATCTGTGGCAAGGAATACAAGTCCCTTAACAATAAAATTTTCATCGAGGCTTCTAGTTAGGAAAATACAACATTATCTATCCTTAATGGTAATAGTTAAAGAGGCCAGAAGAGGGGGATATATAACCAATGAATTTCTTGTTAATGTTATCTTATTTGTGCATTTCTTCCCCCTGTGCATTTATACTCATTTTCCTTATAACTGGTACAGAGGAAAAGACACTTATAAGACTCACAATACCAAGGTTCAAATTCCAGTTACACTATTTACCTCCTTGAGCTCAAATCCCATTTAATACAGTAAATGATATTTATACCATGAAACATGCAACTTAAAGATTTACTATAGTAACCACTGATTCTTTTGCCTCAGGTCTCCCTCTTTTTCTTATCCCACTTTTTTTCCCTCTTAACTGTTCAGAATAAAGTACTTACATATATTCATGGAATAATTAGATCCCAAGATTTAAAAAAGAAATGAATGTTTTATAATCCATTCTTTAAAGGGCAAAATCTAAACATTCAAAGATGCTATTCAAATACTCTAAAAATATTGAATTACTTTCTCCTGGTGCCATTTTTCTTCATGTATTACTTTATGTAGAACCAGTGACTATGGAAAGGAAAAATAGCTTTCCTGGTTTAAAGATGAAGAGAAATTCACAACACTAAAACTAGTAAGTAATGACAAACCAAGGATGCTTATTAAAAAAAAACAAAACAAAACAAAACAAAAAACAAAAACGTAAGTCAGCACATATTTGGTAAAAATTGTGTTCGTTAACAGTAACAACAGCAGCACTCCCTACTGTCTATATAGGGCTTTCCTGCACAAAACCTCCCTTTGTTCCTCTTTTGTCAGTTACTCGAATGGTAGGTGGTTTGAACACACGAGCTGCTCTGCAGGGAAAAGATGTAACTGTCTGCTTCTGTAAAAATGTACAGCCTCTGAGACCCTATGGGTCAGTTCTACTCCGTCAAATAGGGTCACTCTGAGCCGGAATTGATTTGACGGTAACAGATTCAGTTTGATGTTCACATGCTATGTAATTCCTTCCCACACTGTATTGGACTTGATCTACAGAAATGATGGTATGTAACTGCTATCATTAAGTGATAGAAGATATTACAGAGCTACTATCTTGGAGTCTCTCTCTCCCTCATCAGTTGTTCTTGAAGCAGCCTATCAGAAGCAGCCCAAGTAGGAAGGAACTAACACCTCCTGCCAACAGTCAGTTATGTGAATGAGCTTAGAAGCAGTTCCACCAGCCCCAGATGAAGGCCTGACTACAACCCTCGTGAGACATTCTGGATCAAAACCAGTTAACCTGCTGTAAGATTCCTGACATTCAGAAAACTGTGTGAGATCACAAAAGTTTAATGTGCTAAGTAGCTAAATTGTGGAGTAATTTTCAAAGCAACAATAGACAAGTAATACAAATAACATATACATGCCAGTAATTTGCTGCTGTGACCAAGCTTTATAAGTTAGATGAGGGGATAGCATGTTTACCATCACAGCTTGAGTACTTAGATACAGATGTAGCCTTTCAGCAGTACCTACAAAATTTATCTCACCTCTCAATCTCATCATTTTTGAATTTGATAGCTTAAAATACATTTATATATATACAGAAATAGAAAAAATAGTAGGTCCCCTCCATTCCTTTAAAAAAAAAAAAAGGATAGAGTGTAAGAGTTAAAGGAAATAGAAGTAAACATTGTTAATGGTACATATAGAAGGGGATTGCAATCTTTGTAATGAAGCAAGTATATGATTTGCTGAACATAAAATTGGTGATCTGCTTTGCAAACCTTCACTCAACAATAAAAAGGGGAAAAAATTTAAATAAAAGGACATATAGTTACCTCTTCATACATATTTTTACGAAACTCCAAGTCCTCAGTAAGACTCTGACAGCGATTTTCCAAATCCACTTTAAGTAACGTTTCATCAGCCAACTGTTTTTTGGCAGCAGCTAAGGAGGCTTCCAACTATTAAGAAGGAATAGAATTTGTAAAAATGACACAGCAATCATTTAATAATGAATTCAAGGCACCTATGAATTAAAGCAAATCAAATCAAATCTTAAAATTGCTATACATTTATCAATGTGTGAGTACCTCACAGTTCTAGACCTTTATTATAGAACTGCAGGTATTGAATCGCTGATTTCACCAACAGATTACCAGACCAAACCAACTCTCAAATTTGGTAATGGTATGTAAGAAATGAAACAGAGATCTCTAACCACAGGTCAAAAATCAAGTTAAAGATTTTACCTAACCAGTTTCATGTTCCCCTGTGTGCAGGACAGCATTACAGTATCTTTTTTCCTACCTTACATTTTGGTGAAATACTGAATTAGGCTTTGACAGCAATAGACAGACAAAGGCTAACAAAGAGGAAAGGCAGTAAAATAACCTGCATAATGTAGATATGATTGAGACGTGATGATGCTTTCCATGTGGACTTCTTTAGGCCATCTTTTTACACAGGGCAAGTCACAAAACAAACATGCAAACTACAACCAAAAAATATAGCTTAAGACAAATGAGGCAATTAACCTGCCAAATATAGCTCAAGAGCAGAGTTTATCTTACCTGGGCAATCTGATCCTTGAGATCTTCCAAATCTCCCTCTAAACTTTTTTTGTCACCAAGTGCAGTAGCAAGAGCTGCATCTTTAGAATTCAGTGCTGCTTCATATTCTCGAAGCTTGATCTGGGCTCCACTAAGATCAGATTCTTTCTTAGCATAACTATAATACATTAAAAAAGCACAAGACATAAAAATATACCTCTGATATCCCTCCCTGCTTAAGAAGGTAACAGAAGAGACAGTTCAACTAAAGGCTGTCATGATCTTCTAAAATTAGTTTTAGGTGGAAAACAACTTTCTCTTCTAACATCACATGGTTACTAATATTTCTGGGTCAAAGAATTCCCATAAGTACCTGCAGTGTGAGAATCACTTTCACGCAGTCTTTTTTACCATGGGGGGTGATGGGTGGGGAACAAGGTGCTATAGCCAACCAAAGGGATTAAAGAAGTTTGGAATGAAGTGAAATGAAGTTCGGAGCTGATCTCTCTACGCTGAGAACCTCCGAGACTCAAGAGACAGAGAGAGCTGTAACATCAAACAAGCAGAAGCAGATAAATGGCAACAGAACTAGGAAGCTAGCAGGAGACAGCACAGTAGGATTCCTGGTCCATAGAACAAGATAGCTGAACGTCTTTGGGTACCAGGCTTGCTGGCAGAATGTGATGTCTTCAGATACTTGGTGGAGCTAGGCTTATAGACACATAAAAGCTAGAGAAGTGAGCACTTTGAAGCTATGACTAACTGGCATAGTGAGATGCCTCTAGGCACTTACTGGTGGAGCTCAGCAGCTGTACAACACCTGCCTGGGTAAGGCAGAGGCTGGGCCAGCTCAAGAGACCCTAGGAATTGAAAGCCTAGAGGCAAAGGGCCAGGGGGAGGCCTGCCTGTGGGCTGGACTGAGAAACTGTCCTGACTCAAGGAACAATTTCCCGTCATTTCTGATCCTGAATTGCAATGTAACCTATTACTTCCCTAATAAATTCTGTCATTGTTAGTACTGTCTCTGAGTTCTGTGTGGCACCTAACAACAGTATATAAGTGATCCACCATTGATCTGAAAATTTGCTGTACTGTGGTGGTTTATATATTGCTGTGATGCTGGTGGATAGGTTTCAGTGGAGCTTCTAGACTGTAACAGAGTAGAAGGAAAGAGGCAGTCCATTTCTGAGACATTAGCCACCTGTGAATAGCATTGGACACTGTTTGGTAAGAGTGCTGAAAGATGAGTCTCCAGGTTGGAAGACACTCAAAATACTACTGGGGAAGAGCTTCTGCATCAAAGTAGAGTCAACATTAATGGTGTGGATGGAGCAAAGCTTTAGGGACACCTTCATATGCTGATAAGGCATAACTCAAAATAAGAAACAGCTGCAAACATCCATTAATAATCGAAATGTACAAAGGAACATACCAAGTATAAAATCTAGGAACACTGAAGTCATCAAAAATGAAATGGTATGTATAAAGATCATTTTCCTAAGCATTGTCGTCTTTAGGTGCCATCGAGTTGGTTCTGACCCATAGTGACTCTAGGCACAACAGAACAAAATATGGTCTGGTCCTGCACCATCCTCACAATTGTTATGTTTGAGCCCACTGTTGCTGCCACTATATCCATTCATCTCTGTTGGGGGTCCTTCTCTAATCCCAGGTATTAGTGAACTAAAATGGACTGGTATTGGCTTTATATGAGGGTGTTTCAAAACATTCATGGAAAATGTAATTAAAAGATGATGGAATATTTCCACAAACTTTTTAAAGTGATGGGGTTCTGGTGTGGTGCTGTGGGCTAATGCGTCAGACTTCAAAGTTGTTTGAACTGCAAGGTCGGTGGTTCAATATCACCAGCTGCTCCTTGGAAACCCTAAACATGGTCACTATGGGTTGGAATCGACTCAATAGCACTTAACAACAACAACATATAAGTGATGGGAGTCCAGTGAGAGGAGTAAACAGTTAAAGCATTCAGGTGCTAACCAAAGGCTAGAGGTTTCTGTCCACCCAGAGGTGCCTTGGAAGAAAGGCCTGGCAATCTACTTCCAAAAGATCACTCACTGAAACCCTGTTGAACACATATCTACTCACACACATAGGACTGACATGAATCAGACTCAACACAAGGACAGCTGCTTTTATATAGGTGACCAATGCTGGGATAGAATATATATAAAATTGTTGTTAAGTGCCACTGAGTAGGTTCGGACTCATAGCAACCCTGTACAGGGGTTCTTAGAGGAGCAGCTGGTGGGTTTTAACTGCTGACCTTGTGGCAGTCCAGTGCATTGTCCCACAGCAACACAGAGTATGCCATATATAATACAGTAATAATGTATTTTGAAAACAAAATTTTATTTTATAGAATATAGAATATAGTACTTACAAAAGATACTGATTCAATTAATAAGTGTTACCAAAACAAAACAAACTCTCCTGCGCTACTATCTACTTTTTAATCTCAGATTACAATGTGAAACCTCTCAATATGGTGCCTCAAGGCAGGAAAGTGGACCTGTGCTTTTTACAGGATCAAACAGCACACCCAAGAGTTAACACTTCATAAAAAACCATGTCTATAACATAGTCCACAAAGACAATGTTCTACGTCCTATCTTGGTGAGTAGCATCTGGGACCTACGGTGCAACTATTGGTCCCTCCGTGTTTGGAAGAAAGAAGAATGATGAGAATTGAAGATACTTGGAATCATTTATTCCACTGGACTAATGAAATATATGAACATCAGTCTCCATGACTTTGAGACCAGAAAAACTAGATGGTGCCTGGCTACTACTACCAACTGTTCTGAAAGCGATCACATTAGAAGGTCCTGGTGTAGGAGAATAGCATTGTTATTCTAAGAAAATATAAATTGTTGTTGTTATGTGCCGTAGAGTCGGTTCTGACTCATAGCGACACTGTACAGGGTTTTCTGAGGTTGTGAATCTTTACAAGAGCACAAAGACTTATAAATTCATGCTTAAAGCTGTAGATATTTTTTTTGTTGTTGTTATTTAACAAATCAAATTGATAAACAATTAGCCATTGGAAACGTGGTTAAAATTGTAACAAAAACTGATGTCTCTTTGCCAAGGCTCAAAAGAAAAAAGCACTAACAATTAAGCCCCTATTTCCTTATTTTAAAGGATCTATTTGGCTTTCTCATTACACAGAGAAGTATATAAAAACGCCCATAATCTTATTTCCCACTTAGTATTAATCCCCACCGGTAGCTTTAAAGAAAATTTGCATATGGTTAGTAATTCAAATAATCCACAGAAGTGAAAAATGAAAAGCAAAGTACTCTCTCCAAAAATAACAGTAATCACTTCTTAGATTTCCTACTAGAAGAAAAACATACACATACCCATACAAATACACATATGTCCATGTATACCCGTAGATAATTTTTCTACACAAGAATGGGTAAGGGTGGTTCTCATCAAGGACTATTCCTACTCATAGCAACCCTGTGTAGGGTTTCTGAGGAGTGGCTGGTGGTTTTGAACTACTGACCTTTATGTTAGCAATCCAGTGCTTACCCTACAGCACCACACCCAAGGACCAGAGGCTGGTCTAATCTATATTTTTGTCTTGAAGAGCTACTCCCAAGCACAATTCCTGAAAAGAATTTGCTTATACCCAAACAAACCAGTAATGAATAAAATAGCTCCATGGAAGCCAATAAGTTGTTTGCTCAGCAACCAATCACATTATCACTCACTTAAAATCGAAACTGTTGGAATCACTGTAATTAGATGGCAGTGGGAATTGAAAGTATTTGTGAAAAGACATACCATGATAAGTAAAAGAAAAATGCGTAAGTAAACAACTTGATGAAAGACTGTATGAATCTAAAAGAGTGACTGGCTTAAGATTTTATCCTTTAAAACAAATGCCTCCCACTCCATGTCATCTACTATTATTTCTATTCCATGTAATTCCTAACTCTAAGGCCATGATTCCAAATATCAAACCTCCACTGCAAAGTACCTTTTCTAGCAGAAAAGTCATTCACCGTTTTTGGTATTCCAGAGTACTTTGTACACTGTTCTTGTACAGTAACACAAGAATTTATCTTTTATTTTAGATTTAAGATTCTACGTCTTTCTCCTTGATTGAACTATGTATAAAATGAGCTTACCTTTGTATCCTCAGTGCTTGCCGATGCCTGGGATGGGATGAATGCTCAATGAAACTCTTGTGTTAAATGCGAGAAGTGAACCACAGCAGATAAATGAATAGAAAGTGCACAGCAATGGAGTATAACAATCCAACACAAGGTACAGATTACCAAGTCTATTTTGAGACTCAAACAGTCCAAAGTCCACCTAGATCTGTCCCACAACATTAAACACAATCCAAAACAGTAAGCACTGCACTGTGAATGGAGGAAGACTCAAGTATGAGGGAAAATGTAATTAAAAGATAAGGAATTTTTTTTCACCAACTTTTTTAAGTCCCCTCATTATCAGCCACCAGCGCAAAGTAATTTAAAGTCTCTTCTCACTGTAAGTTGTGGCCATATATTGATTGTTCTATCCCAAACAAATGCACATTAACATTTGTTGTTGTTGTTGTTAAGTGCCATCGAGTCGGGTCCGACCCATAGCGACCCTGTGCAGGGTTTCCGAGGGTGTAAATCTTTACGGGAGTAGAAAGCCTCATCTTTCTCCCGCGGAGCGGCTGGTAGTTTCAAACCGCTGACCTTAAGGTTCGCAGCCCGATTCGTAACCACTACGCTACCAGAGCTCCTTAACATTAACATTTAGACATACATTTATATACCAGTACACAGGCAAGCTTGGAAACAAGAAGGGGCAGTGGTAGGGATGGCTAGTCCAGGTCCACAATGTCAAGGCCTCAGTAATAACCACACCCAGCATACATCCCTGAGTACCAACTATGTACTACCAGGGAGAGAAAGATAAAGAAACAGAACAGGGTCCCCAGCTGAGTGCTTTAAAAAAAGGGGTAGTGGTGGTATATGTTTTGTTGTTTTTTTCCATTTTCCTTTCCTTTTCTGAATTCCTGGTGAATGCCTACAGTTCAAGGTCAGACTCAGCCCGTCACCAGACTTATCTGTCTGGGTGGTTCATTTTTGCAGATGCTGAAATAAAATGATGGAAAGGGGCTTATGGAGGTTGCCTGTACTGGAAGCC